GTTATCCTGTTAATCCAGTTCCACTGATATATTAACTTGTTCACTTTTCCAATAGTATTTAAAAATATTTATTTGTGTTCATACCATCAGTTATCATAACGCTTACTATGATTTGATTAATGTCAAACCATGAATCTACTATATATTCAAATAAAGATCAGTATATCAATTAAATAATTTATTTATGTACTCATATATAGACTTCTCTAATCGCATAAGAAGGTTTTGAAGATTGTTAAGTTACACATTTGAAATCATGAATCGATCAGTGTTAGACCACCATTAGAAACCTGGAAGCAATGGACAGCCGTTTCGTCCTGCGAGATGCAGGTGTCGAAAAATGCGCACTGCTGATGAGTCCCATACCAGGACGAAACGGCCTTCCTATGCTTTCAGGTTTCTTATGATGGTCTAACATTGATCGATTCATGATTTCAAATATGTAACTATTCTAATCGTCATTTACAGTGAATGCATTGAAATTTTTACCACTTCATCACACTACTTATTACATAACTGATTATATCACACGAAATTTGTTTCTTACAATCAATGTTAAAAACATTAATTAGACTGATCAACACACACACTGGAGCTAAGTATGGTATCGCTTGACAATATATCTTTAAACAATGCAGAAAACAAACTCTGCTTCATTAATTTCACTCATTTATTCAGTCATAGATAAGACAGAACCGGACATAATTTGGTATATGTCAAAGTTTCCTCATTTCATAATCGAACAAATAATTCAGAGAAAATTAATGACATTGTTGTTAAAAGAAGTGAAAAAACTTCCCTACCACATGATTTTACATTAACTCGAATGGTTTTTATTTAAAAAAGTTAAAATTAAAACCTTGAAAAACTTAGTCACTTTGAAGATGTGAAATAATTTAGACATGACTATAGGTTGACCTTAGCAGGGATTCAATAGTGAACAGATAAAATATATATATATCTCTTTCAAATCCAATAATGATTTAAGGCATGGATCTGCAGAGAAAATAAGCTTCTATACATGAAATGACAGGAAAGAGAATAATTCGACGAACTGATCTGAATCAAAACTCGTTTAATATTCAGGTTTTGTTCATCATGCTTTTGAGTAGGTAACCTTTAATAATTTAGTCGTGACAAAACTATAGTATGGGCTTTTGTTTGGGTGCACTACTCACTAATGCATTTGCTATCAGTTGCACACTGAGTACACTATCTGAACTAAAGGGTTAGACCTGAATATCAGCAGTTAAGACATATTAAACTTTGTTTTGAACATAAGTTTGTTATGCCTTTTTAAATAGGACTTTAAGTTGATGAGTTTTTATGTAAATGCTTTTATTGAGATTACTTTTAGTTTTTTTAAACAAACAGTTTCAAATTTTTACTCTTTTTAAACGAAAAAAATGTTATTTCTAAACTTTTATTACATTAAATACAAAGTCATGAGTTTTTAAAGAATGTGTAATGAATGAAAAAGTTTAAACAACAAGTAAACTTTGACGAAAACTAATTTGTCTTTTCTTTATGAATTGCTCTATATCGATACAGTCCTCCACAAATCATAATTAAAGAACTTTCCTACAGTAAGGGTCAGTAATATTAGTTTTCGAAAATTGAAAAGTTCTACGCATCAAAGGAGGCACAAAAAACCATAGACAAAGATAAAAATTTATACGAAAATCAGCAGTTACCACTGAACATATGTTTCTCAGAAGAGGAGTTTCTCTTATTGACATCTCTAACTTGACTTGTCATGTTCTTTGATAATAAAAATGGGAAGCACAGCTCTTACCGACAGATAGAAGTAACTATCTATGTTTAAAAAAACCCACAAAAGCCTTTGTTATTTCTGTAATCTGCAAGAAACTATGGGCTATGAAGATAAATGAGTTTCACGGAAATCAGCAACCAATCTAAGCTACACAACTTTTAAAAACCTAGAGGTAATACGTGATTCCTCAATAATGTGCATGTGTGTCGTCTGAACCAAGAATGAGAACCAAGGTCTTTAGTTTCACGTATGAAAGTTCAGCCACTAGACTGCTAACCCATCATCTGAAGGTCAACAAGTCTATATTCAAGCAATCCACGATATTAAGCAACTACTTTTTGTTGTCTTCGATAAGTGCCTTCCTCAAACACACTTATAGTGAAACAGATTTTTACTAAAGCTCTGAAAATTTTCTCTTAAAGCTAGACAGCAGTGAGCACAAGATGAATAAGGATGAGCACTTCTGAAGAGCATTATACCAGGACGATACAGCCATCCAGTGCCTCCAGGTTTTAAATAATTATCTAACTTAAATCGGCTCAAAATTTTATAAGTGAGTTCCTCCTGGTTTTTTGTATTCAATCGAAGATAACTATAGAAAAAAATTCTACTTGTACTTATTGAGTAATTAGTTGAGGGAATGAAAAGCAAAGGACATTGACTGTGTGAAAGAACGTTTACTGCAAACTTTGAGGAAGTCCAGTACAACACCATTAATCTAGGAAACCAAAACTAATTCATCTTCTACAAAGAACTCATCTGCATTGTTACAGATACATAACTTATAATTATAAATCATTTACACATTTAAAAGCAGCATCCTCAAATATAATAAACATTTATCTAGTCAACTTTGAAGAATAATTGTGGCATATGCATCTTCCTTATAAAATACTTGTCTTAAACCACACAGTGTCTTCTACTAGGCACTATTTGGTAAGAGTATTATAAGTGACGAAAAGCTATCAAACAGTGAAAAGTGTATTCATCTACATTTACATAATTTAAAGGTACGATATTTCAAACTATCATACAACTCAGCATTGTAAATTGCAAGTTAGTTGTTCAAAAAAAAATGAAATGAATGATCTATAGTCAATCTTATTTCCAATTTATACTTAGTAGTATGACCAGAACATTTTCTAAAATGACTGGAAGTTATGAAAAACAAATGTTCCAATATGATTTGAATTTTTTGGTGCACATTTTTGGAGGTTTGCGTTTTTACACATTCGAAATCATCAATCAATCTTTGTTAGACCATGATTAGAAACCTGGAAGCACCGGACGGCCGTTTCGTCCTGGTATGGGACTCATCAGCAGTGCGCATCCACGACTCCGATGATAAGGCGTTCGCCTACAATGCCAAAGGTCCCGGGTTCGAATCCTGCGAGGAGCAGGAGTCGTGGATGCGCACTGCTGATGAGTCCCGTACCAGGACGAAACGGCCGTCCAGTGCTTCCAGGTTTCTAGTGGTGGTCTAACAATGATTGATTGATGATTTGAATTATCTTATGTTAAAATAATTAAAATCAAATGTAAAGCAGTTGTAATAGAGTAGATCCAAATGTTGAAATAATACGGAACGTTTATGTGAACAGATCTTCAAAGGATCTATATCTAAGTCTGCTAGGCCTCAAATAGAAATTTGGCTTTGCTACAAAACCAAGTTCCTGAAGACTTGGCAAACCGAATATATTGTAGGTGCCAATTTTTTCTTGTAGTATTCATTTTCAAACAATCACTTTGGCATAACAGTTTTCATGGAGTTTTTCTCCAAATGGTATTCTAGGAAATTCATTCAGTTATGCTTTTCATTCTATTTATAGCAGGATAATAGTCGTAGTTATTATAACAATCTGCACTTAACTGTTTAAATCATCATAATTTATAATGTAGAACTTCGTACTTATAAACATCAGTTGAAGTTGTCATATCATATTGGGACAGAGATACAAATGTCGATTCAAATCCCATAGTAATAGAGGTAGTATTAGCAGTATTCGGAGAAATTAGGGTTCAAAGATAATACTGGTATGTCCGTTCATTTGCTTAACAAGAACTCATCCGTCGTCTCGCTTTCCCCAAAAATATTTAAGATTCTATCGGATAATAAGAGGAAAATACAGATCAATAATTCTCTGCAATTATTAAAATTTGTGGAGGTCTAACCCTAATGCTCTCTTTTTCAGTCCTTACTTACTCGACAAACAGGAAGTTTAAGGTTGAAGATGTCACAGTCAGGCGGATAGGCTATGTTCTGACACTGAATATCGATGGAGTTCTTCATACTCTAAATGGCTAATCTAGTAGACTAATACCTTCCCAGTTTTACCAACATTCAGAAATATCCACAAGGTGGAATTAGAAGGTAATTTTCAGCAAATCATGGGCAATCGTCAGCAACGCGTACATGTTATTTTGAGGGAATTAATACTCCCTGGCTATTTCTATTTCGCCTCACCATGCTTACAGTCAGGGACTGAGCTATCCAGTGTGTAATAGACAGTTACCTCCAGCCAACTCCTTACATCCTAACATAGATCGTATGATATTTAGTCACTTAAACTAGTGGTCACATTGCATTTCTTGATATACCTGGCATTGGTCGCTAATCAGTAATCAATTAACTGTGAAATGTGTTATCCCGACACCATTACTGAAAAGCATGTTGACTATCTGTAAGCACTTCCTGTGTTCTGAAATCAAAATTGCACCATACTGCAGTATCTATAGTTATTTCTAAATAAAGACCACAATTTCCGTCTCCGTCGTAAACAATGGGTCAAAATGTTAGTGGATCCTATAATTTCAGAAATATATCAAACCAATAAATCTTTGAAATCAAATCAAGATAAAAATCAAAGCTTTCAAGAGAGCTATTTTTCATCAGAATTAATGGGTTTCAAAACGGGATCTGATGTTGTTCTATTCTGTTGTGCATTTTCAATGTAACCTTACGATCATAATACGGGATTTCCATATGTATTTGGGGACATCGAATTGAGACACATCAAAATTCAAACAAAAATGGTGTAAACCTTCACCCGAGAAGTGAAAAGCTTGCCCTTAAAATCACAATTATCACAGAAAGAACTGCCTAATGCTTAATGAATAGTAAACTATAAATAAATAAATATGTTCCCAGAAAGGGAGAAACAGATATCGATAAAGCACTTGAATAAGTAATACAAAATTAAAAGTTTTATATATAAACATGTATTACTTGGCCCATCTTGTATAAACCCATTCTTTGGATGTAGAATCTGAGCTATCATCACCTGAAAAATCTATACCAACAATATTTCCTTGAGTTTCTCGGGAATGACTGGCCTTTCTCTCAGTGAGAAACATTTCGCTGTATAAGATAAGTGAGCGTCCTTGATTACTGTGTGATATAGGGCAATTTGCTAGTTTTCCGAATTCGCAGTAACAGCATAATAATATAAATAGTTGCAGAACTCAAGGACGACGTATATTCAATATTCAATACCTTTGAAGAACTAGTATCCAATATCCAATATGTTTTTGACGAGATAGTATAAGCCAGTTGAATTTCTTGTGCTCGATTCTTGTTCTTTTGGTTCGGCTCCAGGTGTTCGTTTGTGCCCAATGAATGGGTGTCTAGCCACTTGACTGTCTGATTCTCGTCATTTGGCAGTTGTTTGTGAGTTTGTATGTCTCGGGATTTGAATGAAAACATTTGTTTCAGGGCAGTAGGGTTTCTGGACACCAGAAGCCACCACATTTCCAGACCAAAAATCAGTTAGTTGCAATGTGGAGATTAATAAGGGGAAAATTCTAATGCTTATATAACTAAGATTTCATTACTAAGTAATACATCGATAATTTAGTTTAATAATTGGTAGTGAAGATTGTGAGAGATGACCGAAGTATAAGCAAGGGAAAAGAAACAGAGATAATAAGTGAGATAGATTAACTTAGTGATCTGATGAGACGGAAATAATAACAACTAGCATGTCTCAATAAATGCATCATGAAAAGCTTGTCCAAGAAGGAGATGATAATCTGTATGTGAGAACGTGATTATCAAGTCTCTTCTTAAAGCTGTCCACTGAGGGGTTGTGGTCACCTCGACTGGAAGAGCATTCCAAGTTGCGACGACGCTTAATGAAAAAAATGTTCACGAACCTGAGTATTCGCTCTTTGATGTGCAATTTCTAAACGGTTGGCTCGAGGGGAATGGTGGTCATGCATCGGTAAGATGCTCGCGCTGGGATGGTTTGGCATGCTTAATATGTTGTATACCATAATCAGATCTTCTCTGATCCCCCTATAACCCAGTGAGAATAATCCCAAGTGCTGGAGTCTATCATCGTAAGGTTTATTCTTCAACCCCTTCACCCATTTGGGTGCTCGTCAATACATTCGATCCAAGAGACTTGCCTCTTTTAGGCAGATGGGGTGCGATGACGTTTTGAACCTCCAAGTGTGGGCACACGTATGTATTAAGGAATGTTTACAATAATTCTGGGGTGAAAGCGCCATTTTGTCTTCGCACAAAGTGAACAGTATCATTTGCCTTGGCTGCATCCATTCTATAGTTCGGGCTCGTGTGGGAGCTTTCTGTGGTTATTAAAGCACGATTGCATTTTGAGGAGACATTAGTAGGCGGACTTCCATTGAGGGTGTAAATCATTTGCGTCATGCGGGCAGAAGATACATGAAGTGGCACGTCGGTTGGCTGAGTATTAAACCATTTTTCACTGCCCATTTCTTATTAGATGTAAAGTCCTTTTGAAGCTCAGGCGAACCCTGTTCGCTTCTAATGGAACTCCAGATCTTCCCATCGTCTGCGTAGATTAATGCCGGTAAGCTAACTGAGCCTAAAAGGTCGTACTAATCAATTGATTTCTTTGCTCTCGATTCTCAATCTTTAGGCACGGTTTCAGGTATTTAGTAGTATCTAATGGATAGTAGTCTAGACAGTCGACCGCAATAGTCATTTGATTGTTGTTTGTGAATTTGTAAGTCCCGTGACTTGAATGAGTGCGTGTTTTTCAACGCGGCAGGTTTTATGGATACCGGCAGCTCACATACTACCAACTCGGAGATCAAGGTACAATTCACAAAATTTTATTATTGTCGAAAACTTCAAACAGCCAATACCATGTGTAAGATAACGGATGTATTCCAATTTAGTTTAGGCGAGTAACATAAAAATTAGAAAAATAAAGATATCTGTCAAATAACTTCCAGGCGTTTCTTTCAAATGGACTGACTTGTGAAGCACATCGGCTTTTATAACGCAAATAGAAGTACAGCAAAGCTATTGAGGGCCATAACCATTTGAGGTATTGCTTTTTGTGTCTTTGGTCGCGCTTTACGTCTATCAACAATCACAAAGCAGTAATCATTGAAACTACTTGATGAATTGACGTCCTTATGCATTGGACACGCGTCAAAGTTGTCACAAATAATTCCCAGTGCATGCTTCTCTGGTTTTTCGTTCTCGTCTATGTGGTGTATATTATTCGCAACATACGTTAACTTGGTCTTTTAAGATCAATGCAGAAAATGTTTAGTCTGACAGCAAATATTTACAGTCATTTATTACTTGAATAGTTCTGCTAGCAGTATTCACGACTGTTTGCAGTCTCTACCTGTGTTTTCACAGCACTGTAGTTTCTGGTACATGAGTTAAGTTAGGGATGACGGTTAATTTAACCACTTCGACTTTTGTGCCCAGGCTTATTCTCATTGATCCGATGGTTACGAATAGCTTTACTAAAGTCAATTATTTTTATTTGTACCATTAATCAGACAATCATTTAGTACCAACCAAACTTGATAGTTTGAAGCATTTACTTCCTTTATTATTTTATTTCTTAAACAGATTAGGATACTTGAACATAGTTTGCTATTACCATTGCCACTTCAAATTTTCAAACGATACTTTCATTATTAGTTGTTCAACATAGTATCAAAGGTCCGCAAATATTTGTGCGTCATCATCATTAGTGTCGATAATCAGGGACAGGTTATCTGGATATTTAATGCGCAAGATCCTATTTAATTCATCTTTTTCCGCTAGTTCTTTACCTGACTGATTGTTTAAAGAGTTCAAGGTAGTTTTGAGACAAAGTTGAAAATAGTTAGACCCTGTTTAATGCTCCATATCAGAAGCCAAGTCAATTTCTTCTGGATAGCTTTTCTGCTCATTGAGGAGTTTAATGATACAGCGTTAAATATTGTTTGATGATCAAGTTTTATCTTAGGTGTTTCAAATCAACTGTTCTGAAAGAGTTGAAAATAAAGGTAGGTGAAAAAATGTCACGTCCGTTTATCAATTACGATTAAGTGCACTTGACACTGCGTTTCTGATATTGCAAATAAGTTAAACAGTTGGTAAATTGTCTATAAATTCAAGCTACGTAGGTGTTTGTTGATAGATTGTTAATCCACTTGTTCTATCTGATATGATGCAAGTGTATGTTTTTCTGTCCTGTTTAATACGAATGTACTACCACGAACCTCAGGGTCACTCTTGACATCCTAGTTTTGCATATGCAGATTTGGTCTGCATTAGTTTAATATGAAGAGATTTAGTCTGAATTAGATCAGTGAACGGTAGTGAATTGTTGGGATACGATTCCGTGTGACTGGTGACTACACCAGTGATCTGGTAGTTTTCGCTATTTTATGTTTCTTCATTTCTCAACCTTAACGAGGATCAGTTAGATGATTTGACTAGGACATAGCGACATTTCACAGGCCCTACAAACTTCAAAGATGGTGCAGCGTAAGACAATTGCAGTACGAAAATAAGCTGCTGATAATTTACACTGTAGGCATTGAACGGCTGCTGCAGTGTGAAGAGAGGAAAAATCTTCGAATCTATTTTGGCATCACTTGGTTCTGGTCACTAGTATTCTGCTATGGATGAGCTTTTTATCAAGAGGGTTTCTTTAGAAATTTCGAATTTCAATGTACGTTCCAGAAACCAATTTATAGCTTTGTATAATATTAATGCACTGACGATTGACAGTTTAATTTCAGAAGTGAAGTGGATGATAAGTTCCGACATCATTTTCCTTATTCTGAAACAAAGTGTCGCCTACAATGAGAAAGATAGAAAAAGAAACGTAATGGCGAGGAGTGTGTGGATATTTCACAAAAACCAGTATGCTTCTTTCTCCTTTTTGATATTTCGTGACCAAATGTCAGTTATTTCTTCACGAAATAAGTGAAAGAATTTAATTAACCCATGTTTAAATAATACTAATGAATAAGTTAATGTCATTTCCATCCGCTCAAGATGACTCACATGAAAGATGGTGTGTTTTAATGGTTGTGCAAGATGCGACATTTGCGATTTCGAAGGATAGGGTTGAATTTGTATGTTTGATAAGAATATGAGTAGTTCATTGAATCAGGTATGGTGGTTTAAATAGATTGTATAAGTCTAGTAGACTTCTTCTATGATAGTAATCATAAAATTTATCTTCACCTAACAGTGTTTTGTGTTAGGTTTGCGAGTTTGAAGACGAGATCAATTTATTGCAAACGATAACACATTTGTTGCAATAGAATGCTCAGTTAGTCTGATATTTTACAAGATTTACTTATTATCGATATACGAGGCTGATTTTTTCATGTAAAATAACAAGTAATGTTTAGGAGACCGGAATGTACAGCTCAGTAGTTGGAGTAAATCGTGTCGTTTGCGTTGAAACGAGCGAACTGTGATCATGAATGGCTTCCGTTTACATCTAGACACGTAGATAACGAGAATTGTTATGGTAAGTGTATAGTGATCTTCTGTATAGTATTCTCCAGATGAAAATTTAACAGGCTTCCGGTAAAAACAACTACAAGTCTTCAGGTTTATCGGGACTATTATGCAAGGCATAGAACGAAATTATATGTTCCGCATGTGCTTCCGTTAGTGTATCTCAACGGTTCTGAAAAAAAGAGTGAGAGGCGAGGAGTAGAACAGAAAATATTCGTAATTGAATTGAAGTGTTGGCTGAACAGATGCATCATAGTTGCTGATCAGATACACCACCGTTCCTCCTTTTATGATGTTAAGCTATCCTTCGTTTGAGTTGTCTGCCACTGTTTAGCATCAGAATAACTTTTTGCATACAATATCGTAAACTCACTGTTTCTTCTTCAACTACCTCTACTAATAAAAATAAAAAAAGTAATAATGCATTCTCAAATAACGTCCTACGTGAGGCACGTCAATTTATCGGCAAGAAAACAACGTTAAAACTGTTGACATATTCACTGTAAAAGTTTGTTCAGATGGATAAACATTTCAAAAGGGACACTGGCGTTTTGTAGGGGGCTAAGATTTTTACACAGAATTGTGGATGTTTCAGATTCTCGAATGTACAGTATATTGGTTCACCTGAATAATGTTGGTTGAGTTGCGACGAATCGCTGCTGGCTTATAATCGAAGCAACCTAAACCCGGGTCTATCTATAACAAGAAGTGATGAAGTAAATTTGTGATGATCTTCTTATAAGATTCGTCAGACAATTAAGTGAGTGATAGTCTCCTGGGGAAAGCAAACAAGTCAAGGCTAACATTAAACGAACGAAAAAGAGGACGAGAGAATAAGGTGAGAGGAGCGGAACAGAAAACATTCTAGTTGAAAGATGAACCAAAACTCGACGGATACTTTTTTGGATAAAAAAAGGTATTATCAGCCAGGCCTTTCTTCTTCCGTAGCCAGAAAGCTAACTAAAATTGCAATTATGTAGGTTACTGAAGATAAGTCACTTGTAAAGTAACAAATCGGCAAATAACCTCATGAATAGAGGAGATTCAAAAGAACTGAATTGTTAGAAATTACGTTGATTTAAAAAATATAATAGTGAGAGCAAGGTGATCTGATGCTTCGGTTTTATTTCATTTATCATTTTCTTAAAGCCGTCTCCGGCAATATCAAGGCTAACATTTAAGGCTCGAGCTGGAGTGTTGAAACTGAGGATCAAAGAGGAAGGGGTGAGGAGCGGAAAGGAAAATATTTTTGTTTAAACGTGACTCTTGACTCAGCAGATAATTTTCGGACAAGACAAAGGTATGAATACTTAGACCTCCTTGCTCCTGTATTGGAACATGGGAGGACTGGTGAATGAGCAAATAAGGGAGTACACAGATAAACCCGAATCCCTATGAAAGCCAATGCGGGTTCAATAGAGACAGATCATGTGCATCCAATCTTCTCATAGCATGAGACAGCTAGATGACCAGCTGATATAAAAGAATACCAGTCCACATAAAATTCCCTGAACTTGTGAAAGCCTTCGATTCAGTACTTTAAGTACGCCTGATGGTGAATGTTACGAATATGGGCCTGAATGATCCAATTCCATTTTAGCTCAGAAACTATATAGGGAACAGAGAGCTTCTTACTTAGGTAATTGAAGTTAATGTGAGCCGGTGCACCTAAATATTAAGAGTTGCGGAGTGGACCATCTTAAGTCGGGACTACTGTCGAAAAATTGAAGCGAAACGATTGCTGCGTACAACTGCTACGAATGGGGATCCGTTGCGTGTTGATAACATATGTTAATACCAATAAGCGTATGACTCCAAGCTTATGTTAATGATAGCCCTGCAAACTGCTGCCTGCGTTGATGTAGTTGAACATGCAATTAGCAGCAAGCAGGAGGTCTGCTCATACGCTCAGACTGATAGTTCATGTGCATGCACGTTTCAGCATGTCGCAAGATGTTTGAGGTACGAGCAGCTGATACGTCGTTTGTCGGAAATATGTGTCATAAACATTCAGCAAAGGTAATGATACTACGAAACTAGTCTCATGCAGCAACAGAATAAGGGATGAATCGGGATGTAATAATGAAATACGACGAAAAATGGAACGAACTCACTTTAGGTGGGAAAATCGTTGGCATTAATAAATAATAGAAAATAATTCATTTAGTAGAGAATATCGTCAGGTGAAAACAGTAATTGTAGTGTTATGATTTCATGAGTGATATATGTAATTTCATCATCATAATTTAATGTCATTATGCATAAGGATTTTCAACTTATTTTTCGCCACATTGCAAGTAAATGATCATCGGCCTGACAATGTGATAGCTGCTGGTGCCTGAGTCTCTACGACCCTGAGACGAAAGCACTCGCTTAAATCCCGTGACCTCAAGATTCATAAAAAACTTTGAAACCATGAATGAATCATTGATAAACCACCATTAGAAACCCGAAGGTACTGAAAAGCCATTTCTTCCTTGCACGAGACTCATCAGCAATATGGACCCACGATCATTTTTCGCAGGAATTGAACCTAGTACCTTAATTCATGCACAAAAAATCTTAGCCTATGGATAAGTGACCTGGCATCTAACGGTGTTATTGTCTGACTCTGATCAATTTAATCATTTTGTGCAACCTCACCAATTGTCACTATAGGATGCCGATTCAGTGGTTCAGAAGTTCATCGTTCGTGCGCAGGACCGATGGTCCTGTGTTCGAATCTTCAAAGTAGCGAGAGTCATGGAGGCAGATAGATGAACCAACTGGAAACAAGTGCTAAGAAATCAACTGGCTCAAACCAGAGCGTGAAAAATATTGAACGTTGGAGATTGGATACTGTTTGGCCTTCACCGTTGATGCAGGATTGAATATTTACATCATATGCAATGAAATGATGCGTTATGCACCACAGTAAAGTCAATGGCTATGAGTATTATAATAAAATGCCCACACAATTCACTGTACATAATCGTAACACTGTGAAGGGACCTAGCACAGACGTTGCTCCTTTGGAACATCTTTTCGTAACTAAATTTTCCAGGCTAACAATTGATGATGAATATAAATATAATTTAGCTTATTTGGTTACTGAAAACGATGGAACAGCTCCAGCTGAAAAGCATCGATCAGCCGTGCAAAATCCAAAACCCTTCGACCGCATCCACGTGAACTCCATACACCGAAAATCTGAACCAGTTATTCCTATAAACAGTGGAGCATTTTACCGATCAGCTAGCGGTACAAGGCAGAAACCATTGCGTAGCAAAGTCTCATTTCGTCGCAGCTCTCCTGTCTACGTCAGTAGTCCCGAATCATATGAGCACATGTCATCAGACTTTGATGATCAAGGAGACTACGACTACAGTCCATTCTCAAAACGTTTCACAAAAGTAAATGATAGCATTGAACTTAACCAAGGTCGTTATTTTCAACAGAAGAAACCTCTTATACCAGTTAATAATTCCGTAGATACTCCATCCGCCAAGTTAGATTGCTCTTCCCCGATATGCACTTCAAATCCAAAAATTAATACTCCCTTATGTAAAGTAGAGGAAAGTTTGAAACATGCAAAGCCGAAACTACGCCCAAATAACATCATGCTGCGTCGCGATATTTCTCAAACACTTGACAAGCAGCTTCGACATGCAAACGAAAGTCGTCTGGAATCTATGAAAATAAAAGTTAATGCTCCAGATCCATTGATGAGAGATAACTTTTGTTCTCATGATGTTGCATCTAGAGTGCAAGCCTTCAAGGCGCTTATGAAATCAGAGGAATTAGAAAGCACTGATCAAAACAGTGAAACGAAGGTAATCGAGAAAGTCGCAAATGAACGAAAGATATCCGATGTGAGTTTATTTTTTTTGGATAGTTTACAATTACAAGCTGAGCTTTTATAGTTAGTTATCTAGCATTTCATAACCTTCAAGATGACTTTATGATTTTATTTTTCGTATCTTCAATTGCAAGAAAATTAAAACTCAAAATTAACAGAGTAACTCGGACACAACGCTGTATAATGTATGTTATCAACTGTTTTTGAAACAGCCATTTTATCTACTAAATTCAGTATAAAAGTAATAGTAATTTTTGAAACGAGATGGAATGCAATATGCTACTTAGCATGAGATTATGTTTGAAAAGGCTATGAGTACCAATAGCAAGGTATAAAATTACTTTAAAATTGATTAATAAATAAACTGGTTCGTGTTAGGGAGTCTAGCCGTTAAATTTTAGGAAATGAATGACGAGCATTCAATTAGCATGTTATGTAAGCATCCTTTTGACCTGAAGTTGACTGTCAACAAGTCAAAATATGGTACAAAACAGGCAGTAGTGGTAAAATCATTGGAAATCCTGTAGAATTACTTACATTCAGAACTCAAATCAGCGCTAAGTAGAGCTCAATAAATCCCAAAACTTTCAGGAAAACCATAGTTAATTAATCATTTATTATAACTGAAATGGTATTGATACATTATTCCTGATATTATTTTCAATTATCTGTTTATATGTTTAATTTTTACTAGTTAATCTCATTGCCTTGATTTTCATCTGTTTTGTCCTCCTAGTTTTATTACCCTCTCTTGTATGTCTACTTAATTAAGTACACATTTGCTTCAAGATCTTTGTTTTGTGGATTTCCCTTATCAAAGCCGGAAAGATTATAAACGAGCATAACAATTCAAAAACTAATGATTGTTTTATGTGATTTAATGATGGTTGGTATTCCATATGGAACTTGAATAGGCCATATTATTTTTATTCAAATATATGAGGTTTTCGTATGATGCAATAGTTCTTGGTAGTTTTTGTTCATAGGAAAGGCTATTATCCAGTTGGAAGCTTATTTATACGATCCTACCTCATCATTTCCTTACTTTATGTAACTACAATTATGCTGAAGTTGACTACTTTACCAAGCGCATATGTGAATAAATAAATCTCATTTATTTCATACATCCTAAATAAATTCCTGTGATTTTGGATATATTACTGTTATTGGATTTAGTGAGGCCTTAAAAGTTTGGGTAGGATATCCCAAAATAAAATAAATTGGGATAAATAGATTGACTTATGATCAAAATCTTAAGAAGTTGCAAAAATGAACAGTGTTTGTTCTGTAATGTTATTTATTTACTTATTTGACTTCTTTTTGTTTCGATAATGAGTATGAATACTGCTACTGTTTCTTATTTCTTTCTGTCCTACCTACTGCTACTTCTACTACTAATAATAATCATAATCATAGTAGTAATAATAATAATAACGATGACGATAATAAAGGCTTTATTCAATATAGCTAACTGGATTTTTCTAGCCAAACGCTTTTAATCATTGTTTATATTCTTATCATCTCATCATTGTATCATCAGTCGGTTAATTATTATTTTTGTGATGTGAAATAATAATGCAGTATGCGGTTACAACACCAAGGGGTAAAAACATCTGGGTTCGAAATGACTAGGAGTATATATCCCTGATTATAGCAAATTGTTAGTGCTCGATTATAGATGCCTTCGAAGCACTACTCGTGTATCCGAGTAAGCAATGCTGTCATTAGGAAACAAATACTAGGTAGGGATGGCAGATCAATGGGGTGAAGTATTAAAACTTCATCAGTTGAGATGGCTGGAACATGTGTTACGTATGCCCAATCACCGACTGTTGCAACGAGTTATGTTTTGTGGTGTAGGAGTACGTTAGAAGAAAGCCAGGGGCGGCCAAACTAAAAACATGGCAGAAATTCATGAAGTCACTGACTAGTGGATTGAGTTATGTTGGTAAATGTAGACTACCTGGTTGGGGTCCGCGAGACGTAAGTCACCGATGATTAGAGACCACGAATGATATGGCTCAAAATCGTTTGCAATGGCGCAGGTGCATTCATTCATTGTAATCTCTCAAATTCTGATCCTCTTTCTTTCTATTTCTAGATTTATCTCACTGAATTATACTTCTTGAATCGTATCTTCAAACCCTAATCTTCTCCATTACTCCTAATACTTATACTATCGCTACCACTATGGGATTTGAGCTGTCAGTTGCGTCTTTGTGCTAATGTGGTATGGCAACCTGAACTGATGTACGTACGTATGAATTTCTGCGTCGTAACTGACTGACTGACTTACTAATTTTAGCAAATAATAACGAAACACTTAGTGTACAAACATATTAATATTAATATTCAAAACATTAATATTCAGTTTTTTATCTTGTAAAATACAAATTGATTTAAAAACTTATATGCTACCAATTACATGAATCATTTGAGATTTTCACGAATTAAATGTTCATCACTTTGTTAATGCTGATATTTTACATTTCACCTAAACTTCAAAAGTAAGCCTCAATATAAATTTTTGTAAACCAATAAAGTCGTTTTATGTAAATCTTGTCATCATAAAAAGGTTATTTTACGCCTAATCTTAAAGCGCTCCCGTTATATATGTAGCTTAACTTGCTGATACATTCAACTCTTCGCTGCTAATTTTTTAAAAAATCAGGACACTAGGAAAAACATCATTAATACTATCACTCCAACTACTCTGGTATTTGCCTTGTTAATTTTAGGCGCTACTAAAATTTAAACTGATGCAAATATGTACTAGGTTCAAAATTACTTATGACTAAATAATTTAACCCCAGTGATCTCAGGTCAAAACGCTTACCTGAAAACAGCAAGTCTAATAGATTCAAGTATTTCTGTAAGCGATTTCATCCACTCTTTTTATCGCCTAGTAATGTTGTAGTCAGTTTATCGAAATCCCTATTTATTATGCGTACCAGTGGAGCTAGCTCTTAAGTTTAACATATGATAAAGTAATAATATAAGTCAAACATGTATGCAGTTGGACAGACAGACAGATGCAACGCAGAACTTCATATGTAAGTACATCAGTTCAGGTTGCCATACTGCATTAGTACAGAGACGCAACTATCAGTTCAAATCCCATGGTGGTAGCGATAGTATAAGTAAGGCTAAGTGATCGCCATGAGACCCAGCGGTTAATACCCGATGAGGTTGTTCATATGTACCACTGCTACCAAATGCTTCTCGATGCTCAGTGGATGTTTCACCTAGGTTGTTGTGATACTGTGGTGGACAAACATAGATTAAAATTTATTTTTCAAAACTTTTTAGTCATTATTTATAAAATAAGTCAGTTAAACATCGCCACACTATAAATAACATTTGAAGATTTTCACGCAATTCTACGCAGAAAGGGCAATTTCTTGAGTAAAGTTGTCGTAAGTGTCAGTCAGTCAGTTGCAACGTAGAACTTCGTACGTATGTACATAAGTTCATGTTGCCATACCACATTAGCACAGAGACGCAAATGTCAAATCAAATCCCATAGTGATAAAGATAGTAGAGGTATTAATGGTAATGAAGAAGACTAGGATTTGAAGATATTATTCAAGAAGTATAATTCAGTGAGATAAGGTTAGAAAGACAAAGCTAGAGGTGCTGACGAATCCAGAAGATTAGGATTTGAGAGAGCACAACGAATGGATGCACTTGCGCCATTGAAAACGATTTTGAGCCATGTCGTTCAAGGTGTCTAACCATCGGTGACTTTCGTCTCGCGGACCCCAACCAGGTAGTCTACATTTACCAACATGACTCAGTCCACTTGTCAGTGACTTCATGGATTTCTGCTATGTTTTGTCTGGCCGCCCCTATCTTTCTTCCAATCTACTCCTACACCACAAAGTCGTAAGTGTTAATCTTTCTAAAGCTTATCTATTCTAAACAAGCAATAGTGTCTTTCTTTACTTGACTTCATAAAACTTACCAAACCATTTTAATAATTATTTGCACTCCTTATTTGCTTGTTCTACTCCACTCCCTTTTTTTTTTTTTTATTGATTATTTACATACTTCAACTGATTACTCACATACTTATCATTAAGTTAATTTTAGTATTGGCTATTTCAAAGAGTTTATTTTCTCAAACTTTGACCTAATTGATTGTGTTTGAACATTTATTTAAGCCATCTGTTTGGGTTTATCACTTATTGGCATACACACATATTTTCATGTTGTTATGTAGTAAATTTAATTAACCATGATAAGTTTTTAATGCTATATGCAATCCTTTTATGAGCTTGTATGTTATACCCTTTGTGGGAACAGCACATATAAGTTGCATTTATCCTTATGAATGAGTATGTGACTTAGAGGACTAAACGGACTCACTATTTACCAAAACGAGCTGTAAGGTTGGTGAGTAAAAACATTTCATATAAAAAAAGCTTGTACAACCATAGTGCAACATTAACATGGAGTATTTGTTATTCAAGCTAGTGTGTTAGTGTGTTTTGAGACATATTTCTGGGAAATAATAATTGTTTTTTGTGCAATATGTCATATGAATTGTTCAGAGCATAGATCGCGTCTCAAACTTAAGTCAGTCAATTAGTCAACTATTGGGAATGTCGGACTTAGCAAAAACATTGATCAATTCATATCACTATGTTTCATCAGCCAAATCAAAACGAGACTGTTCAGATAAAAAAAAATGAAGCAATAAAAGTATTAATAGTATCCATGGTAATTGAAATTGAAACTTCATCAGTTGAGGTGGTTAGGACATGTGTTGCATATATCTAACCACCGACTGCCTCGTCGAACTGTTTCACGATGTAGGAATAGGTTGGAAGAAAGCTAGAGGTGGCTGGACGGAACATGGCAGAACTCCATGAAGTCACTGACAAGTGGACTGAGTCTTGTTGGAAGGTGTCAACTACCTGGTTTGGGTCCGCGAGATGATATTAATCGATGGTTAGAGATCCTGAATGACATGGCTTAAAACCGTTTGCAATGGCGCAGGTGCATTCATTCCTTGTGTTCTCTTAAATCGTAACCTTATGGATTCCTCATCACCTTTATTGTTTTTTTAAGTTTATTTCACTAGATTCTACTTCTTGAATAATATCGTCGAACCCTAGAATTTCCGATTACTTCTAATACTTCTGCTACCTCTACTACTATTGGGATTTTTATAGACAATTACATCTCTCTGCTAATTTGGTATGGCAACTTGAACTGATGTACGTACGTTTGTACTTAATTCGATGCTGTTGTTGACTTGACTGAGACATTAATTGAAAGCACTAAACAGAAAATCTGGTCTGCGAAGAAAGAATGCATTCCTCTGCTGAAACCTATAAGACAAGATCTAACAGAAGACAATAAGTGCATGAGCCTATATCATTTCAATGGATTCTGATTCATACAGCCGAACACACTGTTTATTACAGATTAGTTACCCTTTCAATCGTAGTTATCCTGCTATGCTTAATAATTTTGTATGGCAATATTTGATTCATACACTAGAAAGAAACACCAGGAATGGACATGTTTACAGCTAATTAGCATAGTTTACATTGACAAATGTTTCAAAATTGCTGTATGATTGATTTTTTTTAATACCCTACTAAAGGTATCATATCAAGGAAATCATGTTGGTTTTCGTCGATCGAAAACATTTTCTGGTGAACAAATGTCAAGGCGATATCAAGTAAGGTTTCTTCTTTATATTCTTTCTAAACAAATCTTATTTTATATTAAATCGTTTTTTAGTAATATTTAACATTCTGTTTTATATTGAATTATTTCTTCTGGTTTAGCGTTTTTTTGGCAAGTTAGTTTTTAGTTGGGATATGGGAGGAGGGGGTACCCCATGCCCAACCCCTCCTCCTTTATCCGGGCTTGGGATCGGCAGTAACCCCGAACGGTTTACTGTAACTTCAAGGCTAAATAGACAGTTAATTCTCCAGTAATGTTGATACTATCTTTCTTTTCTATTATATGATAAAGCACATTTCAGTTTATTACTATGTATCATATAAATTAGACAACTAATTAAATTGTGTGAGATAGATAACTAACTCAGTTAAATCGATAGCAATCTAGGTCATTGGAACAAATTATCATTCTCCGTTGCAGAAACTTGCACAACTCATTTCTGCATTACGGGGTTGTTAAAGATTGTTAAGTTAGACATTAACACCGTTAGATACTGCTGGCTCAGTGGTCCGATGGTTAGGCATTCGCCTACACTACCGAAGGTCCTGGGTTCGAATCCTGTGCGAGGTGCAGGTGTCGTGGATGCGCACTGCCACTATTGATGAGTCGGTTCCATACCAGGACGAAACGGCCGTGTTTCAGTGCTTCCAGGTTTCTCTAATGGTGTGGTCTAACATTGATCAAAAATGTGCAACTCATTTCTGCCTAAATTCTCTATGGATAATGTTGTCTGGCGAAATAGGGTTAATAGATCCATTATTCTCTAGATGAGTACAACTCTATGAAAAATGGATCCTTTTAAAGTTATAACATCTTCTATCTTCAAGATTTTGTTTTTGAAAGAGTAGGTATATCAGATATATCAGTCCTGAATAAACCGTATGAATTTTTTTAGCTTAAATTTCTATAGACGAATCATAAATCAAACATACATCTATCTATCTATCTATCCGTTTATTTGTTTCTTTTTTCAAAACATAAATACAAAACAAACCATAGGAATTTTCATTGAGACAATTATTTTATGCAAATTTATTTATTCCATGGATTGATCACAGTGTAGGTGGTATTTCTAATCATTGTGTAGTATTTTGCTTTGTTTACAATGTTTCATTTATATGAATGTAATAATTATCGCTTTTTAAATGAAATATATATATTTGATTTAGCATTCGCTGCAAAACTATATATAACTAACTTATTAATATATATGCTTAGTATATTCTTTTGTTTATATTATTTCTGAAGTTTATTTTAAATAGTATATTATTACTACTTTTAACTGTAGTAAAGTTTAATCTGTACGTGCACATTAATTATTACTTTACTTACTTACTTACTCACTTACTTATTTACGTCTGTTGACCTTGATGTAGCATAGGCTGCTGAACAGCGAATAATTATTTTTTCTGGTTAACGTTTTGTTTTTTTAGCGAGTTAGATTTTAACGGGATGAGGTCGCTAACCCCATGTACTGAAGTCAGTCAGTCAGTTGCAACGTAGAACTTTGTACGTATGTACGTAATTTCATGTTGCCATACCACATTATTAGCACAGAGACGCAAATGTCAAATCAAATCCTATAGTGATAAAGATAGTAGAGTTGGTATTAATGGTAATGAAGAAGACTAGGGTTAGAAGATATTATTCAAGAAATATAATTCAGTGAGATAAGGTTAGAAAGACAAAGGTAGAGATGCTGACGAATCCAGAAGATTAGGATTTGAGACAGCTCACAGAGTGGATGCACCTGCGCCATCGCAAACGATTTTGAGCCATGTTGTTCAAGGTCTCTAACAATTGGTGACTTTTGTCTCGCGGACCCCAACCAGGTAGTCTATATCTACCAACATGACCCAGTCCACTTTTCAGTCACTTCATTGATTTCTGCCATGTTTTGGTCTGGCCGCTCCCAAATTTCTTCCAACCTACTCCTACACCACAAAACATGGCTCTTCGAGACCATGTACCCAACTCTCCTCCTTTATCTGGGCTTGGGACTAGGCAGTAACCTTAGAAGGTCTTCAGGTGGAGATACAAATTAGTCATATTGTTAGGGACGTTAGATCCCCAGAACTCGCTTGATAAATGCCTTATTTTGGATTTGATGTTTGCGAGCATGAGCGGATTAGTTGACCTTGAGATTTCATTTCCAACCAGGAAAATCCTTTACTGTGATTGGCTGCTGTGTATTTTAGTGTGCTATTTTTGTGACTGTCTCAAGGACGTTTCTAGGATGTATAAATAAACGAGAGTTGTATGCTTGATTGTATTGTGCTTGCTGGGGTTTTTTGAATACACTCTCTACGCTATACCAAGACTTCTGTTTTTCCGTTTTCGGATGAAAATAACCTACCTGGACGCTGGTTCATTATCCTGTTCGTGTTTGTCGAATAAAGTGAACCCGTAATAGTTTCAAGTGTACTTAGTGACGAACCTAACAATATTTACTTTTTTAAATCTTTATCAATCAATTTGAGTGTAATGAGAAAATGACATAAAAAATGTAGTCTTTGTAAAACTTATAAAAATATTTACTGTTCACTACTAAAATGAATAATATATATATGTTTTTATTACTGTAACGAATGATCAAAGTATTTATTACTTAAAACATTATAGATTAACTTGTTTACATGCTTTATACTTGAATTAAGAGTCAATTAATGCCAAGAAAGAAATGTATTTTAATATTATAAATAGAAGTGATTGTTACAAAACAATACTCTCGAGTTAAGTTTTGTACAAATTGATGCTTGTCAGTAAATTGTTTCTGTGAAATTATGAGAACTGATCATCATTGTAAGATTCAAACTTGTTGAGTCATGTAGTGTTATAGTTAGAGACTTTATAAATGAGTTATCGTGGCTCTGATGGACTTTCAGTAAGACTGAAATATTCACATTGATTAATTGCTGTAAAAATACTAGTGCGTTTGATCAATTCAGTCAAAGTGACAGATATGCCTTATTGTAAAATACAAATGACCCGGATTCGTAGGTATAAAGTTTGCTGTATAAATCATAGCCAATAATCCAACACTGAAAAAATAGTGCCTGCGATATTGTTGTGGATGTTAGATCCCAAAAACTCGCTTGTTAAATGCCTTACTCTGGATTCTACGTTCGCCAGCATGGGCTGATCAGTTGACTTTGAGATTTCAATTCCCACCAGGAGAATCCATGGCTGTAATTGGCTGCTGTGTATTTTAGTATGCTATTTTCATGACTGTCTCAAGGACATTTCTATGATGTATAAATAAACGAGAGTTGTATGCTTGATTGTACTGTGTGATTGCTGTGTGTTTGTAGAATATACTTTCTACGCTTACAAAGCCTTTTTTTTCTTGGGATTCAAGGTAGCCTACGTTGACGCTGGTAATTATCTCGTTCGCGTTTATCGACTAAAGTGAACTAGTAATAGCTTCAAGCGTACCTAGTGACGAACATAATAGATATTCAATCATGCAGACTGGAAACTACATTATCGTCTTATGTAAAGAACTAGATTCGAGCTCAGATCAAATTCGAACTTAGAATAACTTGACATCAATTACTTCAAAGTAATGCATTCTTTTAGTGTATGAGTTTATGTTAAATATTACAATGTAATTACTTAGCTAACATATATGCAGAATACTAGCTACATAACCTTCCATTGACCATGACGGTTCAATTGAAATCTAACCGCTTCCAATGCTTTTATGTATCATACTTATATCGTATTTACTAAATCAAATACGATTTTGCAGCTATAGTAAACCTAATCTTTTTTCCTCCAATTAATTATATGCTCATTTGCATTTATTTTGATAATATTTTTTTTCCAGAAACATTATTTGGTAAGTGTGATTATCGTACCCATTGAAATTGAATGATCAGCATTGTGTTATCTCATGTGATGATCTATATATATAACACCAGTGTTCATCCAAGTGTCATTTAAGTGAATGATTAATTCATTCATTAAGAAATAACTCATTATTTTATTCTTACTAACAAAAAACCATTCTGCAAATGATCATTATTCAATTTTTTTTAAGTTAATTTTTTTTTCTTGATTTATTCAATGAAAAGACGATAGGTTGCTTGATTGGTACTATTCAGTTATGTACATTAATCATTCTAGATGAGATCGAGGCTAGAACCCTTAAGGTGTATGGTCAGATAGTCTTAATCAGCAAACAGCTTCGAGTAGATATGCGTAGATCGGATCTTGATTTATTCAGTGAAAAGACGAAAGGTTGCTTGATTGGTACTATTCAGCTATGTACATTAATAATTCTAGATGAGATGGAGTCTGGAACCTTCAACGTTTATGGTCAGATAGTCTTAAATAGTATGCAGCTGCGAGTAGATATGGGTAGATCGGATAAACTAGATAAATAGTAGAAGGAGTTAAAATAATTGCGGTAGCATCATCTATAGTGAAAACGACTAAATATTAGGAATGTATGGTCCATTAAGAGGAGGATGGAAAAGTTGTGTGTAGATGAATATGGAGAAAGTAAGAAAGTCATTCCATTTGTTCTCCGCTAACATATTATCAGCTATGTCACCCATAATCTCCAGTCTGGAGTGGTTTTAGAGTTAGTGTCAGCTCCAAATCTAGAAAATATCCGACGAAAAACAAACTTGCTTAATAAACGTTCACTAGAAAAATCATTTAAACCGTTTAAAATCTGCTCTGAGAGTTGAAAGGCATTCAATTCAATGAGTTATGACGCCTCAAGTTGAAATTAAAGTTTCTTCAAAACTCATGAAGCCAATAAGCTTTCTGTCAGTCAAAAAAGAAATTGTTTTTTGTTAGGGTGGTATGAAATAAATTAGAAGTTGTACTATGTTCATTTATTCGTTTTATCTAGTGGTATTTGAACATTAAGTTTAGAATAAGATAAATAGTTTAACTGATAAAACTATGACTCTCTCTATCATGAATAGATGTAACGTAATAGGGAGAAGCGGAAGTTATGATTATCAATAACATCTAATG